CGTTTGGTTTTGGTTCGCCGGGTCGGCGATCTCCTTGAGGGGGACGCACCAGGCCCTTCGGCCACCACAGGTCGGAAGACCACATCCCATGCAGTGAACCCAACGCATATTACATCTCTCTTGGAGGAGTACAAGGATCTTTTTCCTGAAGAACTCCCTGAGGGCCTTCCTCTAGATCGGGGGGTAGCTCTTACAATTCCCCTAGAGGAGGGAACTAAACCTGTAAAGCGACCAGCTTTCCGGTACAGTCCAAAGGAAATGGACGAGATCAGATCACAAGTCGATTACCTGTTGAGAAAAGGTCTGATCATGGAGAGCAGTAGTCCATTTGGAGCTCCAGTACTTTTTGTACCAAAGCCAGATGGCAGCCTCCAAATGTGCATCGACTATTGAGCACTAAATAAAGCCACGATTAAGAACAAGTGGCCCATTCCTTGCATAGATACCCTTTTGGACCAACTGCAAGGAGCTAAGATCTTTTCGGCAATAGACTTGCAGCAAGGGTATTATCAACTGAGGATTGATAAGGCAGATTGTGCCAAAACAGCGTTTGTTATGCCGCTGGGCTTGTACGAGTTTAAGGTACTACCTTTCGGACTCGCAAATGCCCCAGCCATATTCCAGCAGACGATGCACCATATATTTGGTGATCAAATTGGCAAACACGTCCTGGTATATTTGGACGACATTTTGGTTTGTAGCCAAACGGCTGAGGAGCACATACGGCACCTAAGACAGGTGTTAGAAGTGCTACGACAACAGAAGTTGTACTGCCGTATGCACAAGTGTCAGTTCAACAGGGAGGAAATCTCCTATCTGGGACATGTGGTGTCTCAAGAGGGTATACGCCCAGATCCCGAAGGGATCGAAAAGGTTAAGAACTGGCCTATACCACAATGTGTGAAGCATATACAGCAGTTCCTCGGGCTGGCAAACTATTTTTGAAAGTTCATACAGGGATATTCGAAAATGGCTACTCCCTTAACAGGCTTGACCAAACAGAATGGCAAGTGGGAGTGGACCGCGAAATGTCAAGAGACCTTTGAGCATATAAAGGAGTGTTTAACCACAGCTCCATTGCTCAAGATGCCAGACCCTGAGAGACCTTTTGAGGTCATAGCAGATGCCTCTCAGACTGCAGTGGGAGCAGTTCTGATGCAGGATAATCATCCAATCTGCTATGCCAGCAGAAAGTTCCTCCTGGCGGAGTTGAACTATAGTGTCACGGACCAAGAAGCGTTAGCTTCTATTCATGCTGTCCAGTTGTGTAGATGTTACCTTAAAGGGACACGCTTCAAACTAGTGATAGATCATTGTCCGTTAACTTAACTTAAGTCACAACCACAACTGAGCCAAAGACAGGCCAGGTGGTCTGAAATCTTACAACAATTTGACTTTGACTGGGAATATCGCCCAGGGCGAAAGAACGTGGCTGATCCACTCTCTCGCATTCCTCCATCTCCCGACGAACGGGAAGCTAGGAGGAAAAGTCAACTGATTGTCCATGGCTTAAGAGTAATACACAAGCGGGGAAATAAGAAAAAGACAGTAGAGGCAGAAGATCTGGCCTCCAAGATCCGTCGGGCCTATGGCCAGGATCCCCAGCTTGCGTCTGTAAAACAGCAGCAAGAGATGCGCTGTACAGATGGGTTATGGCTGCAAGGCAAACAGGTATATATACCAACCAGTCTGCGGACTGAGATCTGCCAGTTGGCTCACGACCATCCAAGTGCAGGACACTTTGGTCAAGCCAAGACCCCGGACTTGGTCCAGAGGCATTACTGGTGGCCAGGAATGCGACGAGAAATACAACTATATGTTGACACTTGCCTGGTTTGTCAACAAGCCAAGTACTCTTGTCAAAAGACCCCAGGCTTATTACAGCCTCTGGGCATTCCTGAGGAGCCATGGACGGAATTGTCCATGGACTTCATTACACAACTGCTGAAAACTAAGGGAGGTCATGATGCTGTCGTCGTGTTCGTCGATAGACTGACCAAAATGGTCTGCTTCGCAGCCACGACCATTGAGCTCTCCGCAGAAGGAGCAGCTGACCTGTTGGTGCAAAATGTGATAAGGCACCACAGTCTCCCCTCTCAAATAGTGTCCGACAGAGACGTTCATTTCACTTCCAGGTTTTACCGGTACCTGGTTGAGAGGTGGAAGATTCAGCTCAACATGAGCACTGCGTACCGTCCGCAAACGGATGGCCAGACCGAAGTCATGAATCGGATTCTGGAGGATTACTTATGCAGCTATACGCATTCTGACCATGACGCATGGGATGAACTGTTAGCCATGGCCGAGTTTGCAATGAACAACTCGAAAAACAGTTCCACCCAAGAGACCCCGTTCTATTTGAACTACGGTCGGCATCCAAAGAGTCCCTTAGCTCTTGGAGTGCAAATTCGGAAGCCTTTGAAGGGCTATGACAATCCGAATGCCCGTGGCTTGGCAGTGGCCATTGATAGGGCGCAGCAGCCTTACTTAAGGCATACTGGTACACCCCTCATGGAGGGCCTACTAGCTGTGACACGATTTGATCACCGTGTCCAATCAGCGCTGAAAGAGGCCAGGGCGTGCGTAGAAAAAGCACGAGATAGGCAGTCAAAGCATGCGGACCGCCATCGGAGGGATGTGTCGTTCAGTAAAGGAGATGACGTCCTCCTTTCGACATAGCATATTACCCTCAAACACCCTGGAACTCGAAAATTACTACCGAGGTGGATTGGGCCCTTCACCATCCTTGACCGGATAGGTCCTGTCGCATATCGACTAGGACTTCCGGAAAGCATGCATAAGATACATCCGGTATTTCATGTATCAAAGATTAAGCCGTATAAGGCCAGTGGCAGAGTACAACCACCCCCAGTTCCTATCGAAATCGAAGGAGAACTGGAATATGAAGTTGAACGCATCTTGGATAAAAGAATGAAAAAACGCGGAAGGTGCCAAAACTCAGTAGAGTACCTTGTCAAATGGCTGGGATATGGACACGAGCATAATAACTGGGAATCAGCAAAAGCAGTTGTTAATGCACAGGAATTGGTTCAAGCATTTGAAAATGGAAGAACTCCTGTCGTGCATATATCAACTGATCGAAGTACGAAACGTACACGGTGAAATAAGCTCATATGTGGTTATGCCTTTGACAGGTCTTGCTCAAGTGGGCACAGAAGCAGACCGGTTATACCGGACCCCGTACAAGAATGCTGTTCAGACACATGAATGCGATGTCCGCAGCCATTTTGAACGGGGAACGCCTGGCCACCGACCAGCCATTGATCCAACCCCCTCGTGCACCCGTTCGTGGACGTGGACGAGGATGCGGTACTTCGCAGCCTCGGGGAGGACATAGCTGGGCATATGGTGGCCGCACGTATCGGGGTAGGGGACATGCAGGGTGACCTGCATGTTCCACGTTTTTCCCTTGGACGGACATAGGCCGGAAGGTCAGAACCTTGTAGCCCAAATGCTGAACGAAGAGTTTTAATGAGGGTTGTCAAAGGCCGGCAGGTCATGTAAAACAACCACTCTTTCTCTTCACCACAGTTTGTATAATGTATGTATGATTACCGTGCAAACTGGGCATGTGGCAAATCGCACAGCCAGTTGCCATATCCATACATAATGTTTTTGCTCCTGTATCCACGCAGTGGGACGAGGACGCCCCTCTCCCTGAGGGGGACGAATGTTACGCGCACTGGCCTGATGTGGGGGACGCCCTACTACTGGCCCTTGGTGTGGGGGACGCCCTGCCCAAGATAACTATCCTCAACCCATAGTAACCATTCTAGGTATTAGGATACGGGAGTAGGAGGGGTGGTCCCGCCTAGGTCCCCGTAAGGACCTAAGTGCCCGGTGAGACGGGTCCGCGGCTCAAAGAGGGCAGGAACCCCACACCCACAGTCTTTACGTATCAGATAATGATAATGATGATGATGCTATATTGGCCAAGCATTGGTTTGCTTTGCCAATCAATTTGGCCACGTGGGTGGCGCGGTATAATTCAACGACTCGTGGAGTCCCTTTTTTTTGCACCATTTTATGTTGTTGCTGTGAATGGCATTTTATGTAACGCGCTAAGTTGGTGGGAAGCTGGTATGCTTTGCTGCCGTTACAAGGGCATGTTAACACAGAGGGTGCTACTGAGTCAGCGACCTAATGCGGAATGCAGGGGGCACGGAAGATAGGACAGAGGCACGCCGGATAGCAGCCCCCACATTCCTAACTTTAGCCTTGACGTGGAAGGGGGGAAGGGGGGGGGGGCTATCCTTTGTGGTCTACGGTACCCTCTATACTAGGAGCCAGTGTGCCCCCTACACCGAAGGCTTGGGTGCCCTTTACACAGGCGGCCACGGTACCCTTTACATGCGCTGCCGGGGTACACTTTACAGCGGCTGCTGAGGGTACCCCCTTTAACACAATGGCGCCTCCCTTCGGCCATTTACATGGGGGTGGTGCCGCTTGGCACCCCTGCTGTACCAGTCATCTGCAGGCAACTTCACATGATGGGAAACGCGCGACCAATTTCCACCGGACGTAAATATTTCCACCATATCGGGATGTGCCAAAATTGTCCGCATTTGTGGTTTTCGGCCCTGATTGCTCCCCCCGCACCACAAACCCCACGCCACGCACCCCAACTGGAACTGGATCGAATCTGGCGCCCAGATTTGGGCGGACGCAGGAGGGCCCTTGTGGGGCGGTGGCTGCAGGCAGCGGCCTGTCTGGCATGGCCAGGCGACCCGCAGGGCCCCACCCAAACGGGCGCAGCCAGCCTCCCACGAGCCCGGTCCCCTCGCCCCTCCCTCCCGCCCGCCGCCGGGCGTCCTCGCCGCCGTCATCCCCATCACTTTCGTCGATCCCGCTGTGATCAATCTTTCGCCCCCTCTGGAGGATTGGATCCCCCGCGGCCTCCAAGTGGCCGCCCACTGCGGCCGGTGGCAATCGCACGGGGCGGCATGGCTGTGGGGCGAGGCGAGCACGGCGCGCGGCTCATGGCCTTCGTGACGGCCCTGGTCCGGCGCGGCGTGATGACGGATCAATTCGTCCGCCTGCTGGAGCTGCAGCTGGACGGCGAGAATCCCGCTCTGGTGTCGCAGCTGGCCGAGCTGTACATCCGAGAGACGACGGGCAGATTGGAGGCGATCCAGTCGCTGGTGGACGCCCAGGACGTCGACTTCTCCGAGCTGGACAGGCTGCTGCACAAGTTCCTGGGGAGTTCATCCACCTTCGGCGCCAAGATTATGGCGGACACGGGCGCGGACCTGATCGTGCGGTGCCAGGGGCGCGACGTGGGGGGGTGCAGGACCACGCTGGCGCGCATACGCCAGCACTTCATCCACCTCAAGCGCCTGCTAGGAGTGTACGTGGAGCTGGAGACAAACAGGAGCCGAGATGTGCCGGAGGTGGGAGGGTACTGGCGCGTCGGCGGTTTAGATGTCAGCAGCTGCTGACTTTGCCATCCGGCGGGGGGCCTGGGGTGACGCTTCTTTTAGGGGTGCTTGTCTTTTCAGGGAGCGCGATGACGACCCTGCGGCAGCCGACGCTGCTTGGTCCTGTGGGACGACCTGGTTGGGCCGGGCTGCGGCGCAGGGGCTGTCGTTGTAGAGATGTACATGGCGCCGATTGTCGGTGCTGTGTGGCACATAATGGTAAACCTGCAGGCGACATTTCCATTGGCCTTTGGAGGGGCTAATCCGTTGGTATTGAGGGGTGGGGTGGGGTTGGGTGGAATGGGGTGGGGATTCGTTTATTGGGCCTGGAGCAAGGAGTTGGAGGATTGGCTTGCAAGCAGTGCGCCTGCAAAACGTCTGTGTTGTACGGCGCAACCGTTGCCATGCACGACGTCAGGAATGATATTGGACAAGAGGTTGACTGCTTTTAGTACGACGAAGAGGGTGTGCCGGTGCGGGTGAAGGCTCACTGCCGAGCAGAACTGCTGTGACTGTGATTTGGAGCATTGTGTGCTCCGCTCGAAGCCTGTCAGATGCAGCACACGTATGAGTTGCAGCCAACACGCTAGTACTTGCGGGGTTTTGCACCGAGTGCATGTTGTTTCAACTTGTTCTTCTTTGGGCTTTGTGTGGGGTCCCTGGCCGCCCTGTGCATACGCATTTACGACAGGCCTGCTGCATTCCACATTCTCAGGCGCTTAATGACGCAGAAGGCATTGTGCGTGTCCATATTTGTATCCAGAACTGATGGCTGGTGGATTGATATGTGTATTTGTCAGCCGCACTTGACGCCAGCTTTGGTGTGCTTTGCGCCCTATAAGAATGACCCAACAGAGAAGCAATTGGGAAAAGAGCCACTGTGATGCTTGGAGTTGCTGTTTGTCTTGGCTTCTTATGCAGTATGTGCAGCTTCATATAATGCAGGATGTATATGCCAGTTTGCCGATACAGTTTATGACCCTTGTTCATACCATGATAGTGAAGGCTTGCAGTCATTTCACAGATATAAGTTGCAGACACTGTTGTGCGGCCCTTTGGCCTGTGTAAACTGACAGTGCTCAATTACGAAAGCATGGGTGGCAGCATTGAACTACTCTTCTTCTTGCTGCTTGTTACAGTATCTGTTGCTGTCAGTAAGATATTTGTCTTGCATTTGCAGATCGATGAGAACTTCGCCCCGTCGATCTAGTCATCTGGGTGTTTGTCTGGTACATGCACAGAGCACAGACGACCATGAGATGCAATGTTGATTGAGGGCCAGCTGATGCTGTCTGTGGTTGGAATTCTCATGTGTATGCACGTTGGCTTGCGGGCTGCGTCGAATCTGAGCCATAACTTTGGATTGTTTCAGGGGTTGACCAGCCAGGGTTGCTTGCAGTGGGCGCTTGCACGTTGAGAGAAATGGTGAATGAAGAACGGCAGCTAACGAATTGTTAGAGTTTGCTGGTTGGGTTTGTCTGGAGGCGTTGTGCAGGTGTTGCTAAGACTGAACTTGTGTTGTCGGCGACAGCAACAGGCTTTTTTTTACATTCTTGGTGGTAAACTGGGATTCAGGGGAATGTGCAGGACATCTGAATGAGACATCTGGTGCATGCTCCCAAGCGAGTTGTGTGAGAAGAAAAAATAGCATCGAGTCCCAGATGTGTGTGCTTTGGCTTATGATAAAGAACTGAATTGATTTGTTGCTTGGGATTCTTTGGGAGTTGGGCTCTCCAGTTTGTGGACAGACGTTGAAAGAGATACCAGAGAAAGAATGCGATACAGTTATTTCATTTTATTGCGCTTGTGGCGTGCATGCTTTCGTGCTGCTGCCTAGTTCTCTGTGGCAGTCTGCCCCCACTTGTTCGCATGGATGTGTGCGACACGACCCTGGGTTTCTAGCGGACGGTGGATAGAGGCCAAGGCCAGGAGCTGAAGTGAGTAGCGTGCCACGAATTTTGAACATGAGCAAGTGGTACATAAGTAGGTTCTGTTTCCGAACAACTACTCAAGGCGGGGAGGGGCGAACTTTTTTGTGAAATGCATGTCTATGGGACCTGGTGGTGGAAGAGAAAACTAGGCATACCAGCTTGCATGTTGGCGCTGTGTTGCACAGCACGCGGCGAAGATGTGTTGGTTCCGGTGCAGGGTGGGCAAAAGCGGAGTGTTTTTGGTTCCAAGAACAGTGCGTGGGGTGGAAGCGATGGCTGGTGCAGGTATCGGCAGAGGTGACACAGGGGGCTATATACTTTGAAGCAGTGGTACTATACTACACTGAACTGGTGGGTTGATATAGGTTCTTGAGTATGCCCGTCATTGGGGATACGAAGTTCGCTCAGGCGCATGGCGACTCGTGGAGATGATGAAAGAAATGTGAGCTGCATCTTGATGAACGCTTGGTCGAAGTGGTGGTTGAGAAAGGCTTCCACGGTGCGATGACAATTGCCCCTGCTGCGTTTTATCAGCAGTCCTTCCGCATCTTCTTGTTGATTGCAGCGCTTCATCCTTCCCCTGTTCTGGGGTTCATGCTCTCCAAGCAATGTGGTACACGCCGTGAGTCTGGCAGCTGGTAAGCTGAGGAATTCGCACACGCACATACACATGGATGACAAGAGCGTGTGCACAACTCACTATGGCACATGCCCGAATTGCTGGGTTCAATCTGGACCCGTCACCACAACCGTTGCCTTACCTGGCTGCCAGGGACGTCCAGGTTGCCTGATGAATGTCGATGACAACCATGGAGTGCGGCTCAATTCGAAAACTTGCGAAGAGCTGGCGCACCCGGTGGCTGAGCGTTGGCTTGGAATTGAATGATATTCAAGTTGTCAATTCACCGTAGGCCATGTGTGCATTGCGCAGAATGCGAGGCACATGATTGAAATATTGTGGCAAAGGTGGTGACTCTAACCTTGACATCCATAAGTAATTCATGATGCAGGGTCCATATTGTGGACTGCGACAGAAGTTGCTAAAATGCAGAACACACACGCAAAGTCCTGTATGCGAAGAACATAATCGATTGTGTTGACGGGCTTTGATAGTTTGTCAAAGTCCCTCAACCATCCCGGTTCGAGATCCTGCCCGTTGCAATCGTCGCAATTGAATTCGCATAGCGATGGGCCACAACGCAGCACAAGTCAAATCTTTTTGATTCGGCCTCTGGCAACCGTGGTGCACACGGTGCTCAAACGCACTCGCCGTGCTTGGTCGGACAAGCAGCCAAGACTCAACTTGTAAGGGAAGACACCATATCGATTTTGTTATGTTTAGCATGAATTTGACGGTGGGGGGGTGGGGTGGGGGGGTGGGAGGCGTAGGCCTGTGATGCCAAGAGGTTATGTAATTGCAACAAAATCGACATAGGGTGGAAAGATGACTGAAAATGCAGCTGATCAGGAGCAAAACACTCGTGACTTGTTCTTAACTTCCTGAAATATTCAGTCTTCAAGGAAATCCTTAGAATGCATCAATTTACAACATCGCGGTTGCCCACCTTGCTTATAATGACAATTATAATCCCATTTTCAGCCCACCAAAATTTGTACGACTCTGAGCATTTTTCTTCTCACAACCAATTAGAAATTGTATTCCAATGTTAGGTAATGTTGCTGAGTCATCTTGGCTTCGACATAAGGGTTGAAACTAAGGAGGGGGAGAGGGGGTTCTGAGCTTAACGTCAAAATAACGCTAAGCATAACAAGGTCGACATAGCGCCTTCCCTAAGACAACCAAACCAAGAGAAGCCGCGAGCAAGTATCGGGCTCTCTAAGTACCAGAGTGTGTCTCTTTTTTGCCCGCCAGAACTCACACTTAGAACTGCGGACTGAATTCACACTTCACACATACACAACACGCGTACGCTAACCCACAACACAAACATATAGCATCGACCCATGGCACCGACCCACAGCTCTAACTCACAGCACCAGCTCACGATCACCAAAATCATTAGTGAACTTGAAGCTTATCTTAAGCCAGCCGGCCTGCCCCTATCTCAATCATGTTGACGAGTGCAACTGTCAGCCAACACATGACCAGCTGCTTGCACAACATGGCAGCTGTGGCTGTCTTGGTGTGTCAGACCTTCATCTCTTCAATCTGGCTTTCATTTCTGTATCAATTTGCTCATTGAATTTTACTGCACATCAGTGTTCGGTCACCGACCTCCAGCTACGTGAATTGGAAAGTTGCAGGTGAAACATCAAGAAACAGTGACAGACATTCAAATAGTGTTGATGGCATTCCCTGAAATGAGATTCTCAGATGCCATCATTCAATTTCAATCATCGGATTATGAATCGGTAATTGACAGAGCCAGCTTAATGGATAGTTACCGGTAATTCGAACATAGTCTAGATGTTGTGGTCTATTTTTCGAGCCAGAATGGTGAGGAAAAGACAAAATTGCTCCCATAAGGCTCGAGAAGTTCGGAAAATGGTGCCAGGGGTAAAGTATTGACCGTATTGTCTAGATGGTTGTTAATTCTTTTTGACCCATGGTTAATTTAAAGGGGTTGTTGAACTATTAGCCATTCCTTGGTGCCGCCTTTTGCAAGTCAACAACAAGTGAACCCCCTACAAAAGCACTCAATTTCTTTCTAGTTTGGGTACGAAGTGCGTGGGAAGTGCAGTCAGTCCATGGGACAATAGTAAGAGCACGTGTGACGTGGCTGCTTGGGGTAAGGCAGTTATTGACGTTTTCTAGAGTGGGAATTACGTAATTGGGGAAATCGACCTTTTGTAGGTGTTATTTAGAGCTTCCTGGTTCCAACGAGCTTTTAAACGCCCAAATCCGTTAAGAATTGACGAAGATATGGCCTCCTGAAGTCGTAGTACTTGGGGCCAGGGGGTCGGGTGTTAGATGCTTGGAACTAGAGGACATTAGGTCGATCGTAGGTGAACGGTGGACGGTGACTTGGTGCCTGGACGCGCACATTGACTTGTCTTGTCTTGATGTGACCGCGATGGACCCACGATCGGGCATCGCGTATGCGATATGTGCGCACGCATGCTGTGAATCCGTGTAACATCTTTGGCCCACTCTCTGGCCTCCCACGAGCCAGCGAACCACCACCGTGCTGCGCCGCCACCTCTCGCCGACAGCAGGCCCCGGGGATCGATCCCCGTCGAGCATTGGGCCCACCGCGCGACCAAGGAAGCGACTGCCCCGGATACGCCCACCATCCGAGCAGAGGTGGGCCCGTCCAAAGTTGGTCAGAACGGGAACGGCAACGGTGTCCGTTCCCGTCCCAGGGACGGGTCCGTTTCTGGGACGGGAACGGACACCGTTCCTGTCCCAGGAACGGACCCGTTCCTGGGTCCGTTCCAGGGTCAAGAACGGACCCGTTCCAGTCCGTTCCAGTCCGTTCCAGTCTGTCCCAAATCCGTCCCAAATCCGTCCCAAATCCGTCCCAAATCCGTCCCAAATCCGTCCCAAATCTGTCCGGCCCAAGGACGGGGACGGACTCCGGTCCGTCCCCGTTCCCGTTCCCGTCCCCGTTCCTAGTCCGTCCCCATTCCTAGACGGCCCACCTATGCATCCGAGGTGGAGAGCGCCGGCTGACCTCCAACAGCCGAGCCGCAGGGCAGGGCGACCTCCACGACTCCGGAAACCAGCGGCTGCCGACAGGGCCGCAACAAATTGGTTTCGGAGCGCAAAGCCCGGAGCCAGGAGCTGAGCGAGAGGCGCAGCAACCAAGAGTGACCACGCGGCCTGAGGGTTGCGGATTCCAGAAGCCTCCAACACCCCAGGCAGCGGTCAGCACCTCTGCGGGTGTTGAATCGCAGTGATGTGTGCCTGCGGGAGGTTGTTTTGCGAGCCTAAGGAGCTTTTCAATGGGCGATTGGTGTTCGGGGATCGACGGCGCTGGGCGATTGCCAGATCCGCAGATTCAGCAGCGGATTCAGTGCATGCGCCAGGCGCTCGTTGTGTAGCCAAACACGCGAAGGCCAGCACCCAACATTTGGAAGATTCAGTCAACCTCAGGTGCCACCCGCTGTAGAATAGGGGTGAAGGTCCCGCTCTAGAAGTAGGGGACATCTGTTGCTTCACCTTATTTTGCAGGTACTGCAGGCGGGTCACCACCAGACCGCTCTGCGCCAAGATTGGGGGCCTGATTAGGGGAAGGGGGAGGAGATTGAGCACGGCAATAGGCAGGCCCACTTGGGTCCAGAATGCTACTACCTAGAGGCAGCATCTCCCCTGGAA